AAGCCATTGGCGTGGCTCGCGGTGAATTAGTCCCCCGTCGTTGATCTTTCGGCCTAAAGTGTTGTTATTGTTGAGAAAGTACGGGGTAGATACGACCCTCTTTAACAGGTACCTGGGGAGGAGATGAGCGGTAGCCGCCGCAGCGAGAAGCCCAAATCTCTCGAATCCCCTACCATTTGTTCTAGCGGAAGCCTGTGAGATACCTATTGGCATCTGGCACATTGGCCAATTCAACGCCGTCGTGGTTGTAAATAAGATTGGTTGCTAGAGAGATTTACTGAATCCTCACAAAGAAGCCCACGTAGCACCGGCGGTGGGGAGCTAACTGAGTGGGTGCATCGCGCATTTCAAGCGGAATTCTGCAGCGAAGCTTCGTGGACTCTAGTCTTTGGTACGAAGTACTCCGTAGACCGATGATGAGTTCTTCATGAGCCGTCTTGGACTGAAGGTTTTTTTTCCCTGCAGGATGGCTATGCATCAATCGGCCAAGGATTCTCCAGATTTCAGACGACATGGACATGTACGTGCGCCAAAGGGTTCATCGCGAATCTGTTTTCGACCCTTGACCAATGGCGCTTGCTGTATCCGTACTCCATGGTTCAAAGCGCTCTTCCTAAGGTACTCCTCGAGTCCGTATCCGCACCGAATACTGATTGACAATAGGGGTAACTGGGGTTGCAATAACCTCCGTCACCCACCAGTGGTCAGCCGTGATCCGTCTCTGCTCTGTACGGCGATTGTCAATGGTAACCGTGTAACGTCGCTTAGAGCCGAATCTCGTACGGAGTATGAGCGCTTGATGTCAATCGTAGTAGCGCACGCTGGCTGCGACATGGTGTCAAGGAGTCAAGGACAGCCGAAATCAACAATGGATGGTTAGAGACTTGGAGTCTGGAAAGAACCCAAGCTTTTGACGACCATGGTTCAAAGGGAACGAAAAAAGGCTAGCTGCTGTTGCTGGACCTTCACCCATTCCCACTTTAGCAAATTGAGATGTGAGGTGACGACGACGCCAGCTGAGGGCGACGACGACGATAGCAACGAATCGATCAAAACAAGGAGACCAATTGACAAGCCCGGCGAGTGGAAATAACGTCGTCGACATTTTCGGTAAAGGCGCTTGACAGACGGTTAATTGCCTCGCAGTATCGAAATTGAGCAAAGCTGCCAAAAACCAGCCTATGGTGAGTAGTAGCAGGGATTGGTTTACCTATGCATGGTTCTTTAATTATGCCAAGGCAATCTGATTCGACTGGGTGAGGGCCAGGGTCGTCGACAAAGACCAAGAGGGAAAATCAAGCCGTCAATTGACACGGCTGTGTTGTATCGAGGACAGGGTTCTGACCAGGATGGTATGCGTAGTGTGTTTGTAGGAATAAACCAGTCAACTGTCGTATGCAATGGCAGCGGTGATCGTCATTCGGCCGACCGGGCTTGTCGAGTTGGAGCTGGGGCGACGACGAATATTTCCGCAACGCTGCATCTCTGTCCGGGGATGATATGATCTATTCGTCCAATTGTACACAGAGGATGTACGGATACTCCGTATTAAGGTAGTAGAGGAAGAAAAAGGGGGGAAATGCGGACGAGGCGGTGGCTTGACACGCAACGGCTCTGGTTGGCGGTAATGGCTTGTTTCGCCAGTTGGTTTGTCTCACATTGGATCCCGTCGTATATGTGCGCTGCGGTTGTTTCTTACCTGCACCGTCAGTTATGTTTCTGATGTTGCTTTTTTTCCCCTGCCCAGAAGGACAGAGTGGACGCATGATCATTGATGAGACGAACTGATTATGCCTGAGGCGAGCAGAATAAACAAGATGCAAATAAAGAATTGTTCGGACGACAGCTGTGTGGAAGGCGAAGGCGAAGGCGACGCCGCGACGGGAGGGTCAGGTAGTGTGACCGGGACGTCCCTGAAAGTGCCTCGTGGGTGAGTGCCACAGCCCGATTGATTTTTTGTGCTTTTCCATGCAGTACCAGGATCCGATGAGGACAAGGACATAGATGACAAGTTACGACTGCATCCATGGATTATTGGCGTTATTTTGGACAAGTTGGTCCATTGATGATGAAAGTCGCAAATGAAAGCAATATGCTTCCCATGCACTTGGACCCGGATTTCCGATTACTGCGGCGCACTGCCAGCTGCGTTGTTGGCCAGAAAGGAACCCAAGGAGGAAGGGGGCCACGCCTGTTGGCTGCAGGATGCCTTCGACTTTCCTCGTACGACACAATGCAGACATCAAAAAAAAAAAAACAAAAAAAAAAAAAAAGAGGGGGATTCGCGCCTTCTGGGTCCGCCGTCCGCATGTCCATGTGCGGCGTGCCCCAGGCTTCACATGCAGCAACACCTTGTGGTTCCTCGCTGTCCTCCACTGAAGTTCCATGGTCGTGGCTGGGATGGAATCCCGCGGGCAAGTGCGAGAAGCAACGAATTCATCCTACCTAAGAAGGAGCAATCAGCCAAGCATCCAATGGAAGTAACAGTTGACCGCGAAGCGAGAGCGCAGGTCAGAGGTCCACCGTCCAGGTCCGGGTCCAGGTCAAGGGCCCGGTCTAGGTGCCTGTGTGCCTGGGCTCCTCCAAAATGTCAACGTAAAAATAAATGGATCCAACGAACCACTAATTCTAATTTCCCGCTAGTCCCGTCTAGGCAGATAACCCCCTTTCCTTCCCCTTCTGGGGAGACGCACCGCTTTACTGCGAGGTGCGGCAGGTGCCCTCGTAAGGTACGGTAGTACAGTGGTACACAGGTAAGCGTGTCTGTACCTGCAGTACCTGCAGCCCGCGGGCGGGATCGTCTCTGCTTGTTTCTGATAATAGCGCCTAGGGTGTGGTCGGTGTGGTCTTGGACAGACTTGGGGAGGGGGGGGCCGGGTGGCTTGTACGGATTGTACCTGTCGTACCTGCCGCGCCTGGTCTTCCTAATTTCCCAAGGGATCCACGACATGGCCTCTTTACCCTGTTTTCCTCCACTTCACCCTCTCCTTCTCCCTCTTCTCACTTTCTCCTGGTCATCGAGCTCTTCATTCTCGTTCACCGCGTTGATTCCCAACTAGAGAGTTCGCTCTCACTTACACTCTTTTGAATCCGAATCAACCAACACTCGTTATCCTATAATCACCTAGTACGATTTTCCGTTTCGATCACCATCAACACCGGCAAGACACGCCATACATCGAAACAGTTCTCGACTCTGATTTCAATACTCGCGGGAAAAGGGTGAGTTGGTTGTGACGGGTGAAACGCATCCCAATTGGGAGGGTACACGAAAGCAATTTCGTCAGAACGCAGCATCGCAAGAGGAAGCAACAGACTTGCGCGCGACATTGAAGGCGATGGACAAATTACAACTGCATCGCTGATGTTGTTGTTGTTGCAATGTTCAAGCTCATTCATTGTCTGCCGTTGCGGCGGCTCTCCAACCCCCTATGAAGCGCCTTTCGTGTACTCTTCAACACAATTGAGGTTCAAGATGCGCTAACACATGCTCAAGAATATCAACATCAATCGACAATATGAGGTCCATCATTAACCTCGCCATTGCGGCATCCCTCGCCGCCGGTGTCGTTGCTCAACCCCACAACCACCGTCACCGCCACGTCAAGAAGGACACCGCTCTCGACCAGCGCGACGTTGTCGTCGTGTATGAGTCTGGCCCGACCGTGGTCGCCTACGAATTGGGAGGAAAGCCTATTAGTGAGGAGGAAGCCAAGCAGGGTATCGCCGATGGCCTCTTTGTTGTTGTCGGCGAGACTGTGCCCTCTTCAACCCCTTTGCCGTCTGCCTCGACCTCCACGGCCCCCACGCCTTCCGTCTCTAAGGACGCCCAGTTCTTCGAGGCCAAGGTTAACAAGCCTTCCACGTCGTCGACCCCGACCCCGACTCCCACCCCGACTCCTACGCCCACTCCCACCCCGACCCCGACGCCTTCTTCCACCTCTACCAAGGCACCCGCTTCCACCTCCAAGTCCTCGAGCGGAGGCTCCAGCAGCTCCGGAGGCAAGGGCCTGACCGCCGAGTTCCCCAGCGGCACCATTCCTTGCTCCAAGTTCCCCTCTGACTACGGCGCCGTGGCTGTCGATTACCTCGGCACCAACGGCTGGACTGGTATCCAGAGGACCCCCAACTACAGCGTCGGCGACGCCGCCATCTCCTTCATTGAGACTGCCGTTGCCTCTGATGGTGGCTGCTCCAAGAACTCCTTCTGCTCCTACTCTTGCCCCGTCGGCTACCAGAAGACCCAATGGCCCACCGCTCAAGGCTCGACCAAGCAGTCCATCGGTGGACTTTACTGCAATGCTGATGGATACCTCGAGCTCTCCCGCCCTACCAAGAAGACCCTCTGCGAACAGGGTGCCGGCGGCGTCTTTGTCCAGAACGACCTCGATGACATCTCCTGCGTCTGCCGTACCGACTACCCTGGTACCGAATCCATGGTCATCGCCACTGTTCCTCAACCCGGCCAGCAGTTGGCCCTCACCAACCCTGCTTCTGCCGACTACTATGTCTGGAACGACAGCCCTACCACCGCCCAGTACTACGTCAACAAGCTCGGTTACGCCGTCGACGATGCCTGCGTCTGGAAGAGCTCCAAGGATCCTCTTGGCGCTGGCAACTGGGCTCCCGTCAACATTGGTGTTGGCAAGAGCTCCGACGGTAACACCTACATCTCCATCTTCAACAACGCACCAACATCGACCGCCAAGCTTGATTTCAACATTGAAATCACCGGTGCCAACAGCAAGTGTGCGCTTATTGACGGCTCCTACACCGGAGGTGGCACTGGCTGTACTGTATGTTTAACCACTCTGACACATGCAAATCGTTCATTGACTAATGCGCTATTACTAGACGGCCATATCTGGCGACGCCAAGGCCATCATCAGATTCTACAAGTGAAGAGTTCATGACCAGGAATTATCTGGCGTGGATGGTTTTGCTTTTGTTTCTCGTGAATACCTCTAGAATATCGACGGATCGGCACGACACGTCCGCTTACGATCTTTGATGGCCTTTTTCTAATTTGTGTGCATAATATTCATGCTGTGGAGACGTTTGGAGAGGAAAAGTTGGAGCGATGGATGGAAGACGAGGTCAACAGCCCGAGGGCGCAACTGGAACTATCCCGGAATCCCGACGAGCCGAGACAGACATCTCCTTTCTATGTGCGACTTCGGCCCATGTCAATTCGAGCCACGTTCTGCGACGATGCCTTACGATTACCTTTATGAGGCGTTTTCTTTCGCATGTGGGTGCCGACGTTTTGCCGCAAAACAAAGTACAACAGGAAACAATTAGTAGGGGGTTAGAGATGATGGATACTCGACTCGGGTAGTTTGCATAAGAATGGACGGGAGATTTGGGGAAGGGCAGAGTTTGAACGGCAGCCCTCGCCGGCACATTGTCACCATGACGCATCGTTTCTTTTGTCTATCGCTGTTTGCCCTGCTACCGTGCTTGTATTGTTTTCGCGGGTGGTCTCATGACGAGCGTAGCCCGCGGGCGTTGGGGGTACCCTTATAGCCGCTTCGTGTATTGCCGACGCAACGTTAGTTTTTAATTTTACTGCTCACGACTACCCTACCTCGCCCTTGTCAACGTTCAGCATCCGTAAGAGACAGACGGGAGTCATTGGGATAGACCCCATGGCGAAGTTGGGTCTCGGGGCCCAGGGGTGGACGTCGGTCAAGCAAACCTTATATCGACCGGTACCCTCGCACCCGACGCCGTTCGGACCGGAGGCCGTTAGATGGTGTGCCCTCCCCGCTTGCGGTTAGATGGCAATCGGGGGTATCTGGGCCGCCAAAGTGGTTGAAGCAGACCGTCAGACGGGGGGGTGTTTGAAGTTTCTACCAAGTCACGGCGTGCATCATGGTCCCGACATGAAGCACATGGACGACGGTATCGTAGGACATTTGATCAACGCTTGCACGGTTGATGCAATCCACTGCGAGTTGCGAATTTCTATTCAATTGCTTTAGCCGGTCTTACCGCTGGCCTTTTCGCGCCGTTACTTACTGGATTCGATTGGGTTAGAGGAGGATGAGGAGATGGTGTCGACAGAGGTGGCTAAATCGTCTTATTATGTAAATTGGCGCTGATCCGGATTTCTCGACGGATTCCGTTCTCCATTCACTTGCAAAAGTCATTATGTTCTTTCCAATATTGTCGGGGGGGCGCATGCTCGTAGGTAAATATGTACCTAAGGTAGGTGCTCAGGATGAAATAGGTAATGCATCAAGGTCCCAGAGGGGTTCCTTCCGTTTTCATCTACGGAGTTTTTGAGCCTTTCTGCTCTCTTTCCCAACGGCATGCATGCACTGGCTGAAATTGTTTCTCAGTGAGTCTTATAAGCGGCAATCGCAATCAGCTTAAGCTTTAGGTGACAGTTCGCATAAGAGATTGCCCATCAAAAGCAGCGAAGGATCTATTCGTGCAATGTACTCCGTAAAGTGCCGAGTTATCCATCCCAATCGTGAACCCCATTCCGTGCAAAAGCTCGCGCCCATTCTCCGAGCGGCCGGGCCCATGCGGTTCGGTTCACGGCGGCAGAGCGGGGACGGTATGTGGTGCCCACCGGAGAAAGAGGGCCACATGACGGTTCAATTCCTTCATCCAATTTCCATTTTGTCCTCCATGCATGCGGTCGTCTCGGTGGGAACAACAGCGGCTGAGCAAACTTACATACCGAGGTAGGGAGGCAAACGGACCTTTTCTACGACGTTATTCCTTTACATATTGTCTACTCTGCCCCGCTCTCCCTGCCTTGCCGTGCCTGCCCATGATGTCTTGCTCCAAATAGCATTGGCTCTTTCCTTGTGAACCAAGTCCGATTGCATCCCAACCATCCGCGTGTCCTGCCCGTGTCCCTTTTAATATGCAACTTCGAACCCCCGCCCAATCGGCGCTTCCCCGCATCGCCACCTGATCACTTGTCTGTTGGAGATTTTCTCTACTTTAACCTCGACACCTTCCTACAGTTCTCTCAAGCATGATTTAGATTTCAAATATTCTTACCTTGTCCATATCTTTGCCCATTATTTCGTCTTTCTGGCTATCACCTGCACTGTTTTAGTTCACGGAGACTGGTTGCGAGATTGCTGCCGTGCCTTCCACAGCTCTGGGTTGTCGTCAATCCATCATTGTATGGTGTGCCCCGCGATTCCGGCTGAATGGGGGGAAACAGCAAAGACTTCACCACACTACGTCAGAAAATTTCTGCAGGACTTGCAGCAAAGCCCGGCTTCTCGATTGACAGATAAAGAGCCTTATCTCGACTGAAAAGTCTGGAAAAACTCGGCTCTGCAGTGTATCTCGTTCTATCCTACCTTGCCTTACCCCATTCGATCGAGTCTCGCCAACCTCTCTGCCTATCGACGGATTGTCATTGGCGAACCAGAGCTTGCTGGGCTAGCTATCTCGAGCTCGGCTCCACCTCTTAACATCAGCTCCGACTTCCTTCTCGAACCTATTTCTTGGCGGCTGTTTTCTTTAGCAGTTGCCGTTGAACATTTTTTATTAACCACTGCTTTCGTTCTCTTCCTACTCACTGACAACTCACCCACGAAGAAACATCGACTAATTGATCATTCACCATGTCGTTGAGTCGTGTAGCCTCGGTGGAAACTTTCCAATTCCTTCCCCAAGCACATGGATCGAGACGAGGTAGCGATGCCTCAAGTGTAAGGGCGGGACGGCTCACCTTCAACCCTCTTCCTGATGAATGGGACCCTGCGGCGAGCAAGCCTGATACCGTACTTGCAGTTGGTGCTTTTGAGGTTCCGCAATGGAAAAGAATTCGTACGTCGCTCGTCTCACTAGCAAGCCTGTCACCTGCCGTCAAATAAGTGGCCGACGCTGTGATACCGTCTATCACACGGAACAGTTACTGACCAGTTCCTGTAGTTCAAGTCACCATCGCCGTAATATACTGCCTCTTTGCAGCGGGTATCGCCTTTGGTTTTGCGGCATTGAAGCCGGTGCTGAAACGAGAGGGCGCCTACAGCGATGTCTGTTCTACCGACGAGTCCAACTCAACCCCCGACGATACATGTGTTGAGATTCATCTCAATCTCATGTTCACCGTGGCAGCAGTTGGTACCAACATCGCTGCTTTGCCCGTTGGCGCCCTGCTTGACCACGCCGGCCCGCGTGTCTGTGGACTCGTGGGCAGCGTCTTCTTAATCATCGGATCAATCCTGATGGCTTATGCCAAGACACTCCCTTTCGACGGTTTTCTCATTGGATACCTGTGCCTTGCCCTGGGCGGTCCATTCACCTACATTTCGTCCTTTCAACTATCCAATGCGTTCCCAAAGCACTCGGGCTTCATTCTCGCCCTCATGACTGGCGCCTTCGACGCCTCTAGCGCCTTATTCCTGGTCTACCGCATAATCTTCCAAGCATCGGAAGGCACCTTTGGCCACGAGAAGTTTTTCAAAGTGTACCTGATCGTTCCGGTCTTTATCATCATTGTCCAATTCGCCTTGATGCCCAAGCAGTCGTACAAGACGGTGGGAGAACTGGTTGAGCTGCAAGAGGAGACCGTAGCCGCGAACGACGTCGACCCGGATCCGTACGACGACCAGGTCGACGAGAATACGGCGCTTCTGCGTGAGGAGCGACGGCACCGCGAGTCCGTCGTTGCTGACGTAGAGCAGTTGCTGGGCACCCAAAAAGCGGACAAGCAGATTCGCCAAGAGAACAAGAACGAGATGTCGGGCGTCTGGGGCGTGATGCATAACCGCTCAGCCCTGCGCCAGATCGCCTCGCCGTGGTTCATTCTCATCTGCCTCTTCACCGTCATCCAGATGCTCCGCATCAACTACTTCGTCGCCACCATCCGGGCGCAATATGAGGTCATCTTTGGCGACGTGGGCAAGGCCGTCGAGATCAACAACTTTTTCGACGTCGCCCTTCCCGTGGGGGGCATCCTCTCCATCCCCTTCATCGGTGTTCTCCTCGACCACACCAGCACCGTGACCGTCCTGACGGCGCTCGTCACCATCGCCACCACTATCGGCGTGCTGGGCGTCGTCGACAACATGGCCGCCGCCTATATCCAGGTCTGCCTCTTTGTGCTCTACCGGCCCTTTTACTACACCGCCGTGTCCGACTACAGCGCCAAGGTGTTTGGCTTTGAGACGTTTGGCACCGTGTACGGCACCATCATCTGCCTGTCGGGGCTGTTCAACTTTTTGCAGTCTGGGCTGGATGTACTGTTCCACCAGACCTTCGGCGGCGATCCCGTGCCCGTCAACGTAATTTTACTCTCGGCCGGCTTCGCCGTCGGTGTTGCGCTGGTCGGGTACGTGGCGCTGAAAGCGAGGGGGTTGAAGCGTAAGATGCTGGAGCAAGAGGCCGAGGCTTCCGTTCAATTTCACAACTAAGGATCTTTAAGGGAGAGGCTCTCCTTGGAAGTTCACCACGGCTCTCTCATATGCCCTATCGCGTTGGTTATTTGCTCTTCTGTGTTATGGCCTGCGCGGAGTTGCGGAATATTTTCGTCCTTTGGACTGTATTGAGAAATTGTTATCAGCATGTGCATGTTCTACTGGATATAAGTTTTAAGTACAATAACCGAAATCATGTCCATATTCATCGTCCACAGCAGTCCACCCCATACTTAGTGAACATCTCGCAACATACATTCTGCTCATTCACTCACTCACTCTCTCACTCACTCATCATCAGGCCCCTCATCAACAGTCGGCGTCTCAAACCTACCCCCCGTAAGCCCCAACCCGCAAAACTGGCCCCAGCCATCAACCTGCTCGCTCGCGTGCTTCAACACCTCGCTGAACCCCTCGTTGCCATTCTTATTCACGCAAAAGTAGTTGTAGTCAACCTGGCTAATCGACTCATCGTCCCGCACGCTCGTCGGGTACTCGATCTGGAACACGGGCTTGCCGGCCGCAATATACGGCTGGAAATCCGCGCAAAACGGCTCCACCTCGTCCGACGTCCTCGTGCCCAGACACGTCTCCAATACGGCGAAATCCGCGACCGAGGCGAGCTGCGGCGCAATGGTGGGCGCGTTCTTCTGGCCCAGGAGGAGTTTCCGCCCCGCGCCGGCGGTGGTGTCGAGGGTGTGCGCGTGGGCCGCCAGGGTGGAGATGTAGGTTGCGTAATCCGAGGGCTGGAGGTTGAAGCCCGTCGGGTCGTCGCCGTCTTCGGCCCAGGCGTCAATGTTGTCCGGGTCGACGGCGTCGCAGCCGATGGAGGCGGCGCGCTCGAGGCGGGCTTTCATGAGGGTTACGACGCGGGCGTCTTTGATGTTGAGGTAGCGCTCGTCTGTGTAGGGCGGGTTCAGGGGGGAGCCGATGACGGCGGAGGGGAAGGCGTCTAGGTCTTCGTCCCAGTCTTGGAGGGCGCCGCCGTTGAAGTAGCACATGACAATTTTTCCCGCTGACTTTTTGGGGGGGAGGGGTTCGAAGTTAGTATTTTCTTTTGCCTTTTTTCCCGAGGATACCCTCGTACTGTTGTATAGATAGGTAGGGTAGGGCAGGCTCGTGTTATCTCACCTTGAGAGTGGGAATGATGTTAGGATAGTCAATTGCGTGCTGCAGGTCGATATCCCAGACGTCGGCGTTGGCGGGGATGATATCGGCCGTGGTCTCGGCCAAGATGGGGTGGTGGAGGACGATTTGGAAGCTGGCGCCGGGCTTCCACTTGCTGTAGTCCACGGCGCGGGGGGTGAGCGGCGCCGCGAGGCCGAGGATACCGGCCGGGGCTACGGCCAGGAGGGCGAGCTTTCGTGACGAGACCATTTTAGACTTGTATTGTCCGACGAGGGAGAGAATTGATGGTCGAGGTGTGGGAATGTGTTGTACGAGTTCCTATGGGTAGCACGCTCTCTTACACACACACGCGCTCTCTCTCTATCTTCTGAAGAAAGGAAGTGAAGAGGTCATTATATATATACATTTCGATCTGACTTGTAAGAGGATCCGGGGGTCTTAGTGCGAAGCGGGAGAAAATCGATATTAAGTGGCTCCCCTCCCTCCAGGCAGCTAGTTGAAAGGATGCAGGATCAGGGGGGAGGGGACCGTGGCATCGACGAGCGAAACCGTCGGTACGAATAACCCAAATACAGCGACGGCTCTGCGTCAATTAAGCATCAGTGCGGGAAGCCGATTGGCGCGATCCCTGGGCCTGTCGCCTCGCACATTGAAAGAGCGAAGAAGACGCTTCTTGGCTTTGGATCTAAATGCTGACCGGGAGCCATAATATCGCCAGATAATAGGCGTAAGTTGTGAGACAGCATTTCATGGCCCCATGGATTGAGGGTGACATCGTCCCGTATCTCACTTTTCCAGTCGTCTGATGTTGAGGAGAGGTATGCAATGGGCATCAAGGGACAAAAATCGATCCCATTTTCCCACTTGCTGATAGTCTGAAGAAACATTTTCCAAGTAAACATGGGTGCCAACCCCCCGCAAGGCAGAAGAACATTTGCTCATTCCCCGACGACTACTTAAAACCGCTCTTCTATCCATTCCTCTACATTCTTTGGTCTCTCCGTCAGAGTTGTCGCCGCATACACAGTAATTGAGAAAATCATGAAATGGGGATTAAGCTTAAGGGCGGTCATCATGCTGTTACTTCCCATTGGACAATTGCTCGATTTGCCCGGCGTGGATCTAGCCAAAGTAGGACGCAGTGGCCGAGATACGTCCCTGATCCGAGCCCCGCTATCTAGGCAGCCGAATAATGTCGAATGAGAGATGGGCGGGTTGCTCAGGTTGGTTCCATTATTCGATATTGCAACACACAATGGGTGACCGCAATATCAGATTTACCCTGATGTTATGCGACCACTCTCAACGTTCGACCCTGAGGAGTAAGCCGTACACTTCATGACATCCGGTTCTGGATTGATGTTTTCCCAGGAACATCACACAAGAGCGGCCGTCTTAGAGAATGTTGTCACAGGCGATATATCCTGCTGCAACAATGAATGATGAATATCGGACTCAACTGGTACTTGTTTGATATTTTCTAGGAACGATGTAAACCGAAAGTACTTGCTGAGAACCAACCTTGACACTGTCCCTGTTTTTCATCGTTTCCGTCGCAAAGTTCCCGCCTGGCCCGCTCTGGCCCGTGGACGTTGAGGATGCAGAGTGCTAAACTCTGGAAGCATTCATACACACACCGTAAACTCCGTCTGGTATCCCACGTACTCCCATGCTGTGATGGAATTCCACTCTGCCCTTATGCATACTCCATGGCTTGTCCGACAGCCTCTTCTCGTTGTTTCCTCACAGCGTCATTCTCGGCCTCCCGCTGCTCTTTGAGCGCCGCTTCAACGTCGTCTCTCAGACCGCCCAAATCTGGGGGAATGGTCTGATATTGTACACTTGGGGCTGATTGCACGAACCTCAGCTGTTCTGTCACATGCTGCAGCACTTCATCGAGTTTCTTTCGTGTGTTGCGGTTGACACGCGGCTCCCCGAGAATCTGCTCCAACGTCGGGAACAGCTCCTCATACCTAAATTGGTCTCTCCAAGGAGCGTGTGTCGGAACAATGGGATCGATCTTGTCCTGGCAGCCGATGGCGATGCTGGTTTCGAAGGCCCAGGCGCGCGCGACATTGCGGGGAGTGTACCCGCCGCCACCAAAGAGAATCATGGGCACTCCGAATGATTTGCAGAATTCGACGCAAGCCCCGTGGCCCTGTACTTGAAGGTTGAAACGTCCAAGGCGATCTCCGGCGAGAGAGTCGGCACCGCACTGCAGCGCAATAGCACTGGGTCGGAACTTCTCCATGCATTTACCAATGACATTCTCAAAAAGCCACTTGTATTGGTCATCGGTCACGCCATCGTTTAGAGGAACGTTGATGGCATGATGGGCTCCAGGGTTATGCTCGTTCTTAGGACCATTATCGTCCAGTCCGCCGGTGCCGGGGAAGAAGTTGAGAGGGTCGTATTTGTGGAATGATACCGTCATAACGCGGTCGGTGGAATAGAATGCTTCTTCAACACCGTCTCCATGATGCACATCAATGTCGATGTAAAGGACACGGGGATAGCAGCGTAGTAGCTGCAGAATGGCCAGGACGATGTCGTTGATATAACAGAATCCAGACGCCTCGGCCTTTTTCGCGTGATGCAGGCCGCCTCCCCATGACACGGCAATGTCGGACTGGTTGGAACATATCTTTCGCGCAGCATCGAGAGATCCGCCCGCTGACATGGAACAGTAGTCGTAGAGACCTTCGAACAGAGGACAGTCGGAGCCACCCAGATTAAACTTAAGATCGGGATTAGCGTTCTCAACGTCCCTAGGAACAGGCTCGGGCAGGACTGTGCCAAGAAAGTCCAAATAGTCGTCCGAGTGGAAGTCGTTGAGCTCCTCGTATGTGGCGGCTCGGGCGATGTAGTTGTCCATGGCGAAGGACATGCCGTAAGAATATATGAGACTCTTGGAGAGGGTAAGTCTCCAGGGTTTCATAGGATGAGTCTGGCCGAAGTGGTGCTTCTCCATTTCGGGATTGCAATGGAACGAGACATTGTAGCCTTTTGGCCGTGTGATGCCCGACTCCTCAGCTATGCGCTTGCATTTGGCGAAGTACTTGGCGTTGTCAAGCTCACTGGCTTGGCCGAGGGGCTCATATTCCTCAACAATGTCGTCCTTGTCGGTCCTGTGAGGTAAATAATTCGGCTTAGGGACGCGGAATCGGTACGCGTCTGTGTCCATAATGGCGAGCGACGGATATCCCGCCGGAGCGGCCGGGATGAAGCTCAAGATGAGCCTCGATTGTTGTCGAACGTGACTGGTGGGGTCCTCGGGTGGCCGACTGAGATGAGTTTTACTCAGCAATGGTAGAACAGATGGCTGGTAACGCTGGCTGAGTCAGAGGTCGTCGCAAGGGCCAAATCGAGAGCTTTTAATGTTTATTTCCTTCCTGTTGGGTAATTGGTGGTCGTGTGCGTCAAGGTCCAAAGCTGTCCGTAAGGTCGTCGGTTGGTGATTCGTGATGTATTTGCGAGGTTTCGTTCGAGGGTTGGCTTCATAATTGGATAGTACCTTCTGTGGCAGGCGACGGGGGAGGACGCCGGTACATTAGGTAGGTCTCTGCTGAGGTAAAGCAAGGTTTCCTTCCATTGCAAAGACCAGCCACCTCGGGCGCATTTGAGGACGCTTTCCCCATAATGGTTGGAACACACCAGCCTCACTGTGGCTTGACTTTCTGGTACACGCACGAAATCTCGAGAAGACCTCATCTATCTGTACTCCGTACACTCGAGACACATTTTTCGAATCTGCCTGAGGCTTGGGAGCATGCCCAGAGTACCTTACGCTCTACGATGCATAACTCTGCTTATGAGTTGTTGATATCTTTACTTTCTTTCATGGATACTTTGCGGGAACCTAGTTCATGCGTATCTTGGGTTTGAGGCTGGAATTTGCCTTGAACACATCCAAATAGGTACAAGGAGACATTGAGATTGGACCCAATCAAGTATCCTCTGGTCCCCCATCCAAAATGTAGCCAATCAAATGACTCAAGGTCCGCCTCAGCACAT